GATGAGAGGAAATGGTCTCAAGTTGCACCAGAAGAGGTTTTATATTGGATATTAGGGAAAATTTCTTCACCTAAATAGTTGTCAAGCACTGGCACAGCCTGCCCAGGGAAGTGGTGGAGTCACCATCCCTGGGGGTATTTAAAAGATGCGTAGATGTGGCACTTGGAGACATTTTAGTGGTGGCCTTGGCAGTGCTGGGTTAATGGTTGGGCTCAGTGACCTAAAAGGCCTTCTCTAACCTAAATGATTCTGTGTTTCCATGCTGGTTAACGCCAGCTCAGCACTTGAAATCTGCTTTCTGTGCTCACGTGCTCCCTGGCAGTGCCGTGGCTGTTTCAGCGAATCCTTCAGGAGAGCCCGCTGGCACCCAGTGCCCTGCTGGGAGGTGACAGCCCGGTGTCCTGCTGGTCCCAGGGCTCTCTGCAGACTGGAAATGCCTTTTGCCTCGGAGGGACGCCCGATTTCCAGGTAAGGCGGGCGAGCGTTCCCTACCTATTGTGGCAGAGTGCAGTAGGTGTCACTAGAGCCCTTTCCAGCGTTCGAGGGGAATCTCATTTCAGATGCAGAAGCCGCTCACAGAGGAGCACAACAAAGCAACTGCTCCTGCAGTCACGATTTTGTTTTCCACCTTCCTGTTTGCAGAAGGAAATACCTGCAAAAGAAACTAATCCAGGGAGATTTTAGCTCTTAGCCCAGGATGATTCAGATGCTATAATATTGGTATATTTTTCTCCAGGTTTTCTTTAAGCAACTTAGTTGGTGTTGGAAAATAATTTCAGTTTATTTTTCAGTTCAGCAAAAATTTTCAGTTAATCTTTTGTTGCAAAATGCTGCTTCTCATTTTGTTCTAAAAACACTTTTTACTGAATTGTTTTTGTTCAGTAGTTAATGAAATTCCTGTTTTGCTGCAAAATCTTGATTTCCACTTAGGCAGCACATTACCCAGCCATGCCATATATCCTGCACCTTCCTCTACCTAATTACTTGTCCCATGTAGTGCACTGTGGGGGTGTGTGTGTGTGTGCATATGCACCTGGTGTCATGAAAATATAAACCACTGACACTTGGAAAACAGTTAGAAAATACTGGAAAATGGTGGAGTTGTTATTCTGATTATATAAAAAAGCAATTACCATGAAGACATTTGTTTTTTAAAGAAAAATAGGTTGGTTTTGTAGATTTCCCCCTTTCTAAACTTTCCAATTCCATAGTTAGTCTTTAAAAAGGGAGTTGATTGACTTCTCTTTGCAGGTTTGGGAAGCTTTGGGCAGACTCAGGGAGGGCTGTGGTGTCTGGCCTTGTCCCTGCACATTGGTTAAAGCCAGTGGAGATGATTTCCCTGCCTCACATCTGATCCACAGCTTTCAACGGCTGAGCAAAGTAAAAATAAGCTTTAAATGTTAATATAGGGTAGTAATTGTTTGAACTGTCGTGCAAGAAGGGTGGAAAGCAGGTGAGTTTTGCAATATGATGGAAGCACTGAAGGAGGGCAGATGTGACACAAGAGCAATACATCCATCCTCAGCTTTGATGGTTGAATTGGGTTGAATCAGGGCTCTTTGGTGTCCCCATGTGTGAAGAAACCTCAAAACTATCATTTTGCTTTCAGTGGTGCAGGGTGAGGACAGTGAAGGTCAATAACCGACTGGTACAATTTGGCATCTCTGTGCCATTCTCCACAGATCTGCGTCAGGTGAGGAGCTTGGACAGATCCTGAACACTCAGTGAAGTGTGGGCAGCTCTGGTGGAGACCACAGCAGGTGTTATCCCTGTTTGGCATTTGATTTTTTTGCATCTTGGAGGTAATTAAAATGCTCATCATGGTGACGGGTCAGGTGTGGTAACCTGCCCTGGTGCTTGGGACGTGCAGGAGATGGCTGTGCCCGGGGTGGGGAGGGATGGTCACTCTGGTCAGGGCTCTGTGAGGATCCTGGCACCAGTAAGAGGGCAGTGGTGACCACACTGGACATCATTCATTACCCCATCAAGGGCTCTGAGCATCCATCAGCACAAAGGCGTGTGTGCCGAGCTGACAGCTCCGAATTGTTTCCTCACCAATTACCGCGCCGGAGCCTTGATAGCGTAACGAAATGTGCCTCCTACCTATCACTTCATCTTTGTCAAACTGACTGGGTGTTCTTAGTTTGTTATGACTGGGAGAACTTCAGCGGCGTCAGAAAAATAAGCGAGGCTGTCTCTGGTGTGAAAGGCTTAAAGGCGGGGTGGATGCTGTTAAATAAAAATGCCTCGATCCAGATGAAAATGTACATGGTAAAAAACCCTCACAGACCAGCTGAGCCCTCTCAGCTCTGTCATCATTTGGGACCCAGTGGGGGATGAGAAGAGTAAGAACTTTTCTTTTGCTAGACGTCTTTACACTTAGTAAAGTATTCAGCCTTTCTTATAATTTATTCATTGTGGTCTAGCATAGTCTAAAATATCAAACCTTCCCCCTCTGTCCTTTTACATACGCATTTTTGATGCCTCTTAATTCATTATTTAAGCAGCCTGCGTTCTGCTTTACAAAATACCCTCCTCCCCAGTGCCTTAATGTTACCAGTTATTTGTGTATCCGTGTCAGTGGCTATCCAGCAGGGAAGGGGCAGGGTGGGTGGGATGCTGATCCTCCAGCCCTCACCTCCTGTGCCCACGCCAGCTCTCCTGCTTGGTGAGGAGCAGAGGGCTTGGCAGCAAAAGGAATTGGGCAGCCAGAGCTCGAGCGCTGCAGCTCCAGCAGAGCACTCGAATATGTGCTGAAGTGATGCTTGAGTGTGTGTTGCTTTGAAGCCTGGGAGCTCTTCTGAGAGAGAAAGTGGCTCAGTGGCACTTTAGAGAACGGGACACTGCAGCTCTCAGCATCCAGACGGCTGGGTGGGAACCCCCGCTCCTGCTGGGACTCCATGAAAATCCATTTCACCGTCACAGCCCCTCCTGCAGCAGCAGCTGAGTGAGCCTGGGTGAGATGCAGGGGATCCCTTTGGTGGAAGTGCACCTGGAGCACAAAGTATTCCCTGTCTCGTCATTAATTACAAAGTTGGGTAACTGTCAACAGGAGCATTTGCGGCTGAGAAACGTGTCTGCACACTGCGAAGCCTGAGCGATGCTTTGATTGGAATTCTTGCAGCAGCCTGTTTGCTCCCTGGGTATGGTGCTTGGACCTCTGCCAGATGTGCCATTCCACCCCCCCAGATTCCATGTGCAGCGTCTGCGAGGCGGGTCTGCATCCGGGAACGGGGGGTCCGGAAGGCGTCATGGTCGTAGCCCTGCTTTTCCCTAACAAAAGAGAACGGGGTAGTTGGTTCAATGCAGAATATTAAACCTCTTAATTTAACAACAACAAAAAAAGGTTAAGTAAATTAAGAGGAACACAACTGCTCCAAACCTCCTGCTTATGCCCTTGGTTGCAAAACTGCCCTGGATATTGTCAATTGAGTGTTTTTAACATTCCAACCAAAGAAAAAGTCAGAACTATTTGACCTGTTAATACATTTAAATAACCTGTTAATGCTTCAAAGAAAACATTTCTGAATGTTGTGTAATAAATCAATCTTTGCTTACTTAATAGCCTCAATGTTTTCCTTTTGAGTTAGGAACTCATGAGAAAGCCTAGGACTGAAAACCAAAACTGACAGCTTTCTGGGCATTTAATGTAAGTTGCATTTTGTTGATCATATTTGAAAGCATTTAATATTAGCTTTGTGCAATAATTTCAGTTGAGGATGTTGTCACTTTGGGGACAACAGGAGGAAGCACAATCCCTGTTTGCCTGGCAGGAGCTTGTTCTCAGCAGAAGGGACTTGGCTGAGGACCTCCCAGATCCCACTGACTCAGCACGTGGCTAAATATTTTTGCCTTATGTTTTAAACAAATAAACAATTTTACTTACTTCTGGGGCTTTTGGGGTTTGCCCCCTCCTGACCAAATAACGTTTACTTGTTCTCATATTTACTTTCTCCCAGCTCTCCAATATCATATTTGCACAGTCGATACTCCTCTGCTGGCAGATTATTTTTAATAGAGTGGTTTATTAAAGCATCTTTCATGAGAATATTTGCATTGCAATGCACGTCAGAGCACTGCTGTGTGAGAAAGGTTACTCCTGAATGCAGCAGTACAGTGACCTGCTTATCAAATTTTATGCTTGGAACATTTAGATGAGGAAGGGTAAAAAGGAATGTGACTGTGGATCATGTGTAGATCCTCGTGAAAATCCCACCATGGGTAAAGTCTTACTGGACATTGACTTGTTGAGAGGCAAGTACAGCATGTTTCATGCAGCTTTTTTTGTCCCCCAGCTTATCTTTCCATCACTTTTTAAATTCTGGCCATCTATATTCCTCTATTTTAAAAATTTTGTTTCCTTTTTCTCTTTATGAAGAAGACATCTCAAGTTTCTCTCCCTGGAGTAAAGTGTCAATTTACATCCAGTATATTCAGTTACTCTGGGAGTTAATCAGGCTCAGTCTGCTTCTTTTTGGTGGTTTTTTTTTTTTGTTATGCTTTGAATTTTTGCCATCAGTCTGAGATATAGGACTCAGATGGGGCCCTCACTGAAATCCACAACTCGCCCCTCCTGGGATTTCAGTGGCACTGAGGTTGTGTCAGAGGTGGGGTCTGATGTCACTCAACATGGGAACATTGCTCCTTCCAGCCACTCTCCCAGCCAGCACTCCACAGAGAAAAGTTTTGGCAGGGCTGTTGTAGGCAGCTCCAGTTAATTTTGTTCTTTTTCACTATTAATTATTATTGGAAACAATTTCCAGTGAATTTAAATCCTCATGTCTATGCAGTAGGGCTGCATCGTGCTCTGGGTGTGTTTATTTTTCTGTGTGTCTGCTCATGCAGATTTCCTGAGCCCCTGGAGTTTTCCTAGCTTCTCTCTGGTATTTGACATTTATTCTTTGTGTGCTTTTCCAGCTCATTAATTTATTAAACATCAACGGTGATGCAGTTCTTTGATCCTCTTAAAAATTAACCACCTATGCCTGTATCTTAACCAGTTCTTGAGCCATGGAAATATTCCCTCTCTCCTGGACACTTCAGCTCATCAACAAACCCTTGCCAGCGCCTTTTCCTGAGAAGTTTTCAAATATCATATGATTTATATGTGAGTTTCCCTTATTATTTTTCAGATTTGCGTGTGGAAAGGTGCAGTTTTCTCTACAGAAATACGTTGTTCACCAAGGTGTGTGTAACTTACTGACTTCTCAAAATAATCGACTTCCTCGGCAAGTTAAAAAAAATCATAACGGGGAAATGGATTTGTCTTGAGCATTTCCTAAAGAAGGGAGACACCTGATGTGAATGGAAAGGGATCTCCGTGCTAGAGGCTCAACTGCTCTCCCCTTGCAGAGCTTTTGGGTGAAGCCACCTGGCCCTGAGAATTTGCACTTTCCCCTGTGCTGCTGACTGAGGAGATGCTGCACCTCCCTTCTGCCAGAAACTCCTGGGTGTCCCCCCTGCCAAGTCCAGGGTTTGAATATCCTCCTTTACAGGACTGCTTGATTCCTGTCCATGTTCCCAAATGGTTGTGGTGTTTTGTTGGTTTTTGTTTGTTTGTTTGTTTGTTTGTTTGTTTTTGTTTTTTTGGTTTTTTGTTTGTTTGTTTGGTTTTGTTTTTTTTGGTTTTTTTTTTGTTTGTTTGTTTGTTTTGTTTTTTTTTTGTTTTGTTTTGGTTTTTTTGGTTTTTTTTTTGGTGTGTGCTCTCTTCCTATAGGAGATAAAATACTTCACTACAATGCCCCACAGCCCCTAAAACCAGATGGTCCAGGCAGAGTTTACTGCTGAACTTTGTTCCCCTGGAGATGGGAGCTTCCCTCCCTGGAAGGAGCCCTTCCAAAAGCCGCCTCTGAGTTGCTAAGAAACAGCTTGTCACTGTGGCATGGGCTGTAATCAGTTGTGTACAGGTAATTAGAAGTCACTACTGCTTTATTATTAACTGTTTGTTGATTTTTCTTTTTCTTTTAAATAATTTTCCTCTCCGTCCCCAGAGCGTTCAACGCTCCTGGTACATCTGCATCAATTATGTATTGTCGGTGTGATTTTTCTTCCTGTGGAAACTTGGCTTCCAGAGGCTCTTTGTGGTGCTCCAGCCATGACCTAAACCCTCCTTTGCTGAATAATTCCTACCGAGACAACACAGTTTCCCCGCTGTGTTTTCCACGCTGCCGTGTTTCAGCAAGGCAAATAAATCAGGCTGTCTCCTGCCACCGGGCAGCCTTGTTTGCTCAATTTTGCTGTTCCATTTCTTGCTTTATTGAATAAGCATGTATTTATGTACCTTGTGTCCTCTTCCTGCCTGCCCATTTTTTATTGAACTTCTCCATCGGCCGCGCGGTTGGGTTTTCCTGACAGGGTTTTGGATCTTAAAATGCTATTTCTTCAGACCAGCTGTCACTTCTGTCCTAACCTTGTCCCATGAGGTCCTCTGTGCATCGCTTACGTGTCTAGCTCTGCCTGCCTGATCTAAGTGCCCCTTCACCTTCTCCTCAGCTCTTTTAGTTTTAATACCTTGTACATGAAATTTTGATTTTCCCTCTTCTCTTTAATTAAGAGAATTTTTTGACACTATCCAAAAACCAGCACCCATACAATGAGCTTCCCTCGCAGCCCTTGTGCTTGAGCTCCTCTTTGTGCCGGCACCTTCCACAGGCAGTGCTGAGCCCGCGTCTCCCCAGGGACCAGCAGGGAGATGCTGCTGCACCAGCCCCAGTCTTAAATCTTATCCTCAGTAATAGAAACAGTCTCCAGCCACAGACTGAGGGGGTTATTTTCACACACCTCAGCCTGCATTGGAGCTGTAGCTGCGGCTCCCAGGGCAGCTCAGGGTGGTTCTGAGGGAATCTCATGCTCAAACACCTGGCAGCAGCTGGGGAGAGATGTGAGTGCATCCCCACACTGGGGATCTGCTCCCTCCTCGTGGGATGTTATCCCCCACCTAACGGGTTCAGACTCTAGGACTGAAGAGGAAGCTTTTTGTGCTGAATCACCAGTTTGGGAATGTGCCACTTGGCAGGATTTCCCCCTATCCCAGATCCCATTTCTCTGTGGAGCTTTGGGGACGTGGGGTGAAAGAAAACCTTTTCCCTAATGGCTCATATTTCTGCTTAGTGACCGCCTGCCAAATTTGATGTCAGGAGATGCTGAGATCTGTAGGGCTGAAAGTTGGTGTCTAATGAAGGGACGTCAGGAAGCGAATGAGGTTTTTATATCCCGTGCAGCCGAACGCTGGGATGTTATTTATAGCTGCTCACTTGCACCATAAGCACCTGTAGAGACTTTATTCTTCAGCCTCTCAGTGGAATCACAAATGACAGAAAGAGCTGAAGATGTAATGACCCTTGAGGTAGGAGAAATTATTTACCAAACCGTAGATAAGGCAACAGATCTCTCCTGCACTGTGTTTAGGGCATCCAATCTATTGCAGATGTTACCATAGTCATGCTGTTTAATTTAAAATTGCCCTGCCTTCCTTGTGTCTCAAATTCTTTTCTTGGGAAACTAAATCCTTTCATAACCTAAATGCAGCAGAGGAGATGAAAGCGGCTGGGCTGGGGATGTATATGGCCATTCCAAGGGAGCTCTATATAATTGTTTTTTAAAAGGACATGCTTGCTCTATTTTACTTCTTTTTTTTGGTCTGGTTCATCCTGGTTTTGTTGTTTGTGATATGTGTTCTGTCATATGCTCCTTGTCTAGCAATAAAAAGTTACCAAGATTAAAAGCCTTTGTTAATTTATAACAGGCATGGTAAGAGCTCTTCTCATTTTACTGACTTTGCAACCTCTGTAGCAGATATAATACAGGGATTATAAAGGAGTGGTTACCATTGGTTTCCTGGAATAATTTTCTTTGTGCATGGGTCAAAAGGATAAGGATTAACAATACTATTAGGCATTGGAGACAGTAGCCCAGTCTGTTTGCCTCTAGCTTTCAAATCTGTCTCTTAACAGGGCAGGTGACTCTGAAGTAGAAGATTTGCCACTGTCTTGAACTGAACATAGTCCCTACCCCCAAAAAACTCGTTCACTTCAGACAAATCTCTCCCCACCAAACACCCAATAGGTCTTTCTCTGCTGAAATTAGGGAAGGATCCCAGCTTCATCTAAGTGTGAGGAGACTGATTTATACTTGCAAGACTTTAAATGATGGGTCCCAATTTTTTTATATATACTTTCAGCTGCAATGCCAAGCAGGGAGCTGTGTAAATCTCTCCAGTGTGAACTTTACTTATCACTTATCAATCACATGTGAGACCTAATTTTAGTTTTCCCTCTTCTGAGGCAAGATTTTGGAAACACTCCATGGATGTCAAACACATGCAGCTGGAGGTGGTCCTGGGGATTAATTTCACCTATGGCTTTTTCAGGTCTCTGGTGAGACCCACAGTGTAAGAGAAGCCATTTACCCACAGGTGCTGGATTGTTCTTCCTGGTGGTGCTGCAATCAAAGCTGTCAAGGAAAATGATCTATGTGCCATAGCTTGATTATACTTGTCCTGAGATACTTCTACGCTAAAGGGTTTTCAGGTTTTAATCAGTCTGCATTAACCATGATGCTCTTGTAGTTGATCAAGGAAAGAAAGCAACTGTTGATTGTACTAAAAGCATTAAGTGACCTCTGCTAATTAAAAGATAATGTCAGTGCAACTGAGTGGAGTGCCTGGGTCCTTAGCCTTTTAGGTAGACATTAAATGAAAATCAAAGAGTTCGTGGGAAATAAATGTGGTAAAGGTAAGAGACTTGTTTGTGGAAATAGCAGGTCATGTTGAAGTAAAAGTTATTTAATCCATTAATGATAGCTAATATGCCAGAGAACCAGCAATTTGTTGAAAAAGAATAAGCTTCCTCCCCAGTTGTGGGATGTCTTCACTTACTCTGCCTTGACTGGAGCGTTTTGCTTGGGAAGCCTATGATGTAGTGGATCCACTGTGTCCCTCTCTTGTCCATAAATAAACTAAATGTGTTTCCTCACAAATGCATGTCACCTTTTAAATGACCCAGACGTTCAGTGTTAAGCTCTGTGTTCAGTAATCATGTAGTCAGTGTCTACAAATGCAGTCTTACTTGCCTTTTTTCATTAATCTTGGTGTCTGGGAGAGAAAAGACAGATGGAATAACTATGTACGAGCACATCCCTTGCTCCTTGGAGAATACAGGTGGTAAACATTATCTTCTGCTTTCTGTATTTATATAGATGCAGAATGAAAGCCCTTTGGACAGAGAAGCAATGGCACAAATTCTGTAAGAAATCACCTGAAGATGCAACATACCCATGTCCTCTGAGGAGCCCTGGTGGACACAGTGGTTTTGGAGGAGGTACCGAAGCAGTCGGTAAAAGTGTGGTATAATTTTTCAGGTTTGCATCTCACCCTTTGACTTCTTCCTCTGTGAGGAGAAACAGAAGGAAGGACAGTTAAAATATTTTTTTTCCCACATGGAAGAAATTAAATCCCATGTGGGAATATAGAGGGGAACACAATGGTTCAAAATGTGGTGTTGAGAATGAGGTTGACTCCATGCATAAAGCGGAGGCTTCATGGGGAGGAGAGGGGAGGTGTCTGCTTCTCTTCAGATTAAAAGAAATGTTCTGGAAGCCGAAGGTAATCTCTTCCCAGGCAGTTTGTAACTGAGCTTCACAGCTGCCAAATTGCATTTGATCACATTCAGCATCTCTAGCTGAGGAGGCTGCAGGGTGAGGAGCAGCACGTCACGGGGTGTGAAGGCGTCTGAGCCAGCCCTGGCTGTGGTCTCTGTCAGAGGCTCCATCCAAGGCATCTTCCCAGGCAGAATATGCCTGATTTGCCACCATCCCAAAAGCTACAGGACAAGGTGGGCTGCGCCTCTGTGGCGCTGCTGATCTTTTGGCCAGGAAACCAGTGCTGGGATGAGCTTGTGAGCTACAGGCCCAGCTGCTACCACTGATGGTGCTGCAGCATCTGTGCCCTTCGTCCCACCCCTGTGGGTAGGAGATCCCATCACTGTGGACAGGAGATCCCCATTGCTGGCATGTGACCCCTCCTGCCCCTGTGCCAAGTGTGCAGGGCCAGCAGGCTGCAGGGGCACACCCTGTGCATCACTGCACGACAGTCATAGAATCAGAGAATGAATCGTAGAATCACTGAATGGTTTGGGTTGTTCCATCTTGTTCCAACCCACCCTGCCATGGGCAGGGTCACCTTCCACTAGACCAGGTTGCTCAGAGCCCCCTCCAGCCTGGCCTTGAACTTCAAGGCATGGGGCATCCACTGCTCTTCTGGGCAACAAGAGTCAATATTCACCTCGGGGAGGGCAGCTCTGTCATTGTCTCTGACAAACACAGCCTGGGCTGCTCCACACCGACGACCCCAGGCTGCCTGGAGCAGGAGCTGGGAGCAGCTCCCCGTTTGGCTGTGTTAGGAAGTGGGAGGCACGGATCTGGTATTGCAGGGAGAGCAGCAGCACCACTGCTGTGTCAGCCCCCTGCCTGCAAGCATCATTTCAGGACCAGGGGTTTCCTGTTAGGCAAAAGAGAGGGACATTTTCAAACAGAAAATAGTGATTTCTCTCAGTGTCAGCCACCTGCCTCACAAAAAATATTGCCCATCTGAAAGGAAATCCAAATGGGAGGTTTTGACGTAAATATCCCTTTTGTAGAAGCCTTCCCCCCCACCCCTCCGCTATTTGGCAACAGAAAATTACATCTTCCTATGTGAAACCTGAAGAATTTTCACATTGGAAACTTTCAACTTTGAAAAAATGCCCCTTCTGTCTCCCCTTAGCTTTGAATTCCGTGGAATCCACTCCTTTGTTGTACTGAGGTCCCAGCAGCGCCTGATGCCTCATTTCTCGCTGTTTTACAATAAACTCTTACTTTCAGTGTTTTTTAAAGAGCAATGTGTACACCTGAAGGTATTTTAAAGAAACTATTTAAAAGGTTATAAAAAATAAAATAAATACTTGGCATCAAGATTCTTGGAGTGCATGATGAATATTTTAATAGTCAAAAATCCAGCCAGAGAGAAATGAAAGGATTTAGTGCTCTAAATAAAACTCTTTGTGGGTTTTAATGTGCAAAAATGGACAACAATGGCTTTAAAACCTCTCCACAAATACTTACATCTATGCCCTGGTATACTCTGTGTATCTTATATCCGTAGTCAGTAATGGTCTGTTATGTCTTTTTA